TTGATCATCTAAAACTTTTATGGAACCAAAAATAAATGTCGTGGTGGGACTAATCTCTTTATGAATACAGATTTTTGCAGCATAACAAGCAACTATGAGCAACAGGAAATAGCCCAATGGAAATGCAAACTTTCTAGATGTAAGGCAAGTTTGGGATGAGCCCAGTAAATATATCACCTGAGCTCAAAGCCACTAGTTATGTGACATTTGTACCAACGTAAGACAGTAAAACACAAGGATAAGAAAACTATATAGCTTAACCTACTGAAGCTTACAAAATATACTGGGATACTTATAGCAATCATGGCCAGGCAAAAGTTTAAAACTTAAGTTACAAAGCTTAAAATCTCCTATTTCTCCATATTCAATATACATGGTAACCATTGCATTACCTCTCCCGTTTCTCTATAAACTAAAAGGAATTACATCTTCTCCTCTCTTATCAAATGAAAGGATTGCCTTACTTAAGCGAGGCTGCTAAAATAAACCATCACACTTCACAAAGTTAAGATCACATATCCATCACAGCTGTAAAAAATAATAAAACAAATATATTCCTTTAATCACGGAGTGTCTCTGAAAATCTTGTATATCAAAGCTTCAAAACTTGTTCAAAGTTGTCTTTTCATGATATGATTCCTTTTGTTGAAGCAAATCAGCAGATTACTATATGCATATGCCCTTCTTGTCCTTTAAACGTCTATTTTTCTTCCAGCCATCATTCTGTAAAATAATGGAAAGGATATCAGTAAAAATAGAATTAGATACAATACAAAAATTACCTAAGGCTGAAAATAGTTAATAAGAAAAACTTACAATATTTTTTGGAAATCTTTCACCCACTTGATAGCAGCTCATCATGCAGTTACTTAGTGTATACTCTTTCCATACTTATAACTTTCTACTGCTATACTTTAAGAAATAATCAAGAACTATTTGCACATATTACAAAAACCCACTTGTATTTGAAATTCTCTTTCCTATCTTGCATGCAACTCACATACTGAATGCAACTTATAAAGATACACATGAGCATTTGAAGGCATGCAAATTATAGTGCAGGCATTTTTTGTGTAAAGCTGTTTTTATTTGGTCTTGCATCATCAAAACAGGATTTTCTATATTATCAAAGCTAGATAATATCAAGCTGACTTCTTTATATCAAATCAGGTAATGCTTTTCTTCTGCTAACAAAAATAACAACTTATAAGTATACTGGCACTTCAAAGCCATTAAATTTCATTCGTCTGAAACAGACTCTTGATATAGGAAATGCTCTTATATCAGCATTTCTATTGTAAACCATTTTGTTTAATTAAATTTCACGACCTGGGTAAGTCTTCAACTAAAAATTTCAAAGTATTTGATGATGATGAAAAGCCATATGGACAAGTATTTAAAACTAGGAAAATGTAAGAAATGAGCTGCAAACACACCTTTCTCAAATTCCGAGTTTAAAGTAGGAAAGTGTTCCTGGAGAGCCGCAGCAAGCTCTCGCGTTAAATTGGGATCGCAAGTCAACACCTGCCCAAAGCTAAACGGCAGTGTTTTCTTGTTTTCCAATAAATCCATTTGAGATGCTGATGGCATAGATTCCTTTTTCATGCCTAAAAGAATGAGGAGCCATTCAACAACAACAACAACAACAACAACAGAATGCATCATTTAGTTTTTATTTCTTGAGTTTTTAGTTCTGATTACTGATATTTTCCTTTTAAAAATAAGACAACTTTTAAAATTATTAGTTATTTATTTGCTCTTATTCTTACTGACATCTGTTTCACCTATCCTCAGATCTTCATTATAGGGAGGGAGAGAGGGAGGGAGGGAGAGAGGGAGAGAGAGAGAGAGAGAGAGGAGAGAGGAGAGAGAGAGAGAGGGAGAGAGGGAGAGAGGGAGAGAGGGAGAGAGGGAGAGAGGGAGAGAGGGGGGGAGAGAGAGAGAGAGAGAGAGAGAGAGAGAGAGAGAGAGAGGGAGAGAGAGAGAGAGAGAGAGAGAGAGAGAGAGAGAGAGAGAGAGAGAGAGAGAGAGAGAGAGAGAATATAAAACTTCACCTAAGATGACTCTATCAATCTTCCATATCATTGAACAGTATGAAGGGAAAGACATCCTTATGTTTGTATTTACGCATAATTACCTTTAATCAAATTTTGTTTATCTCTGTTTTCTGACAAACACTGCACTTTTCGAACTATCATAATTTAAAAATAATTCAGAAATTGCATGAGAAAGAAAGAAGTCGTTACACTGATTAAAATTCCACCTAAAAAATGACATGGCAAGAGCTTGATGCAAGTAAGGTATAAAAAAATATCCCCAGTTGGTGTCACATGAGCTGCATTATTCAAATATCTTTTATCCTGTGGATTTTCACTGAAATCTGTAAAACTACTACTTTTTATTGCCATAAACACCATATCACTGCCCTCTACTCTGGAAATTATTTACTTTAACACTCGCACACAAAAACAAGAGAAAATGTTGTACAATTTCAGTTGCCGACAAAAATGTGAACAACTTACAAAATCTTAGAAGTCTCAAAATTGAAAATATATGTACCATAATATCTAATTTATAAAAGGTTTGTTAATTAGCTCACAAAGAAAATGTATGTTCTGCTTGCATATCATCTTTCTTTTAAATTTGAATGAATCACTAAATCTTTAGATACACAGGTTAGTTTACATTTACACTAATATTGCATTTTAAATTACCCTTTGAACATGCATATCAATAGCAATCCCTGATTATCATCATTCTTCAATGAAAACAATTGCATTTTTTCCATGGCATATTCTCATAGAAAACTTTTTAAAATGCCAATTTCCAAATAATAAGAAGTTGCCAATATCAATTCAAGTAACCTCTTTATGTAACAGCTCATTCAATATTGTGTTATTCACCCCCCTCCCCCCCAACCATCAAATAGTGACTGGTTGCTGGAGTGTCTGAATCAACCGTTTGTTTGCTTTACTTCATTTTTTTCTCAGGCCTTTACTCTTAAATCAGAAGGGGAAATAGGCTGCTCATCCTGAAAAGGAATATCTTGCACAGTGTGGATATCTATGCAGTGTGCATATTCTATACTTATTATCCAACCACTGTGTAATTATATTTTTTGTGTCATGTTCATCCATAATTATCTCCAAAAAGTAAAAAAGGAAGCTAAATTGTTAAATACACTTCCAGAATAAACTATAATATTATCATTAATTAATTAATTAAACACCCTTCTAGCATACTAATGAAACCACATGAAACAAAGGTAGCACAAATTGCAAGCATAAAAAACTGCAGAAGCTTGTTCACACTTCAATAAATTTCTCTTTAGAAATTCTAGATTTACACCATCCCATATGAAATCTTGTACAGATTTTTAATATGTACTAACACTGTAGTGTAGACCCACCTTGTTCATCTGCACCCTGACCATAGTACAGCTCTTCCGGGGCTACTTCTCCACTGGGCTGTTCCATAATGCCCGAGTTCTCTGCATATTCCTTGCCCTGAAGTTAAGAAAATCAAATGCAGCAAAAATATAGCATTAGGAGCAGTATTTCATGTGTTCCTGCATGTGCAAGTCCTACATGATACTTAAAAATTCTATTTACATTCCTTATCTATAAAGGATTGCTCTCTCTCTCTCTCTCTCTCGCTCTTTCTCTCTCTCTCTCTCTTTCTCCATAAATCAAAATCCACCTTCAAAAATCTTGACTTTATAGCCTTTTAAACAAGGCCAAGAAATAGGGGGGAAAAACACACCTCATGGAAAGCTGCAACAAATTCTTCTAATGATTTGACACTGGCAAATTCAGCCTTGAATGTTGTAACTGCTTGAGGTTGTGGCTCTAAGTTAAGTACAGTCCAGGTAGCTGAATTGCCCTCTTTGTGCACTGTGGTTTGAATAGCTATAATATGTTCAGCAAGGGTTTCTCCAGACTCTGACGTCATGATGATCCTCGCCCCAAAGAAGTCATCATCATACTGGATGTGAAGATCCCCAGCACCAAGTGCCTAGGAAAAGAAGACAGGACACATAGTAAGAGGGTTGCTCAATCTAACCATGTGACTTATTGTGCAATCATTTCAACACCAGGACACTTAAAGAAAGCATACCCAGATTAGTGAAGCACCATGTTGCAATATCAACTGAACAAAAGCTTCATCTTTCTTCACACAATATAACATTTGCTGACTTTGAGGATCACACAGCACACTCACCTTCACATACCACAAATAGGTATATACTCCAATCAACTTGCATCTTATCATCCCCTAAATGTGTTACACCAACCACACACATACACATACATACCTCTAACCAACAACCTCCATTTCTTTCTTTGATTCTTGGATTTTACCAACTGCCTTTTATCATTATAAAAGAGATACCAAAGATTCCATTTCTTTCTTTGATTCTTGAATTTTACCAATTGCCTTCTATCTTTACCAGCAAGAGATACTAAAGACTACACTATCATCTTATTAATGGAAGTATCCATATCAATAAACTTGGTCTACATATTGCTTGAAGCACTGTGTAATTTCTAGAAATGGCATTTTCAACAGCTTCCTTTCTTTTCTATGTATATACAAGGGTTGCCTCAATGAATACTGACCCTGATCTTTTACAATACAGGAATTAAGGGATATTAATTATCACTGCATGAACTTTCATAGAATATGGGCACTGGCTCAGTTGTGTAGTCTGCCAGTAACACAAAAATTGATTTGGATTTGATCAGATCTCAGTAATATTTCTATAAGTAAAAGTTACATATTACTGTCATATAGCAATCTGCATGCAATCAGTACCTGTTCTAATACTGGTGCAATTACTCAAGGGATCTCAAAATGTATTGACTGAGAGTAAAGTTCTTCACTGTCTATTTCACAAAAAGGGTCTTTCAGGACTTCGATGAAATTTCTGTTATCCTTACCATCAAAATTTACTCAATGTAAATGTATTATCAGATTTCCAACTTTTCCTTCATATATTTATCAGCTTCAATGTTCTCATCTGTCTATGTAGCCATCATTCATAAGGACATATCACTAATGAAAAGGTCAACCCACTAATCCTGAATCATTATTGTAGTACATACACATTTTTTGGCTTTTCTGAATTCTTGCTTTGTAAATTTGAGACCTTACATTGAAATAAAGGAATATTAAACACTACAGCTGATAGTAATAAAAATATGCATGCAGTAATATATAGCACACTATTCAATATTTATTTTCTCAAGATGGTTTAATTCTTGGTCTGGTTACTGAAAAAAACAACAGAAATATACTAACTCAAAGGGTCACAACAGGGCAGAGAAAGACCCACAAATGAAAGGGTTCAACATATGTATTTTTTTCCAGCCTACTGACAATACATAATGAAATGGAGGGTTTCACTTGGACAATTCCACATCAAAGATTACTCTGGTTATATAGCATGTTTGGGAGGGTACTCAGCTGTTCATATAGACAGGTTTCATGAAGAACATTGCTTTCATATCACACAGTTGTAAATAATACTTCACTGGCAGGTCAGTTAAATAGTTTAGTTATCATGCATTTAACCTTCCTACATGCAACACAAGTAATCTTTTACTATCTTCATGCCTAGATTAATGACCCTACTACATGTTATCTTAGACAGTGCAGGTCTCTCTTATTCAAAACTGAAATATCAGGAAATACAGTTTAGTGAACATGAAAAACTGGTTGAGGAACAAGAATAAGTTTCATCACTGCATTAAAATGTTACAATACAAAATCCACTCTTTAAATGAGACATTTTTGGCTAACATATGGACACCTACATATATTACCAATCATATATACTGAGCCTGAAGATAATGTGGAAACAAAAGGTATGCACTGATAAAATATAATATAAAGAGGACAGGCAAAAACATTCTATGGATATTGGTAAAAAAGTTAAAAAGTTGCCCTTATCACAGAAAATGACAAAAAAAGGACAAATGAGCACTGAATTAACATGTAGTGGTGGCAGTAATCCAATGTTAAGACAAAGAAGATTGTGAGCATCAGCTACTGAAAACATTAATAATCACAAATTCACACATTTGTGCTAGGCAAGATGGAAAAAGCAAACTGTCACACAGTTAAGATTAAACATCTGTCACTGCATTATTTACACAAGTTTGTGCTTCCAGTGATAAAAAGGGGAAAGTTACATTTGAATAAGGACTCGTTAAAATGTGGGTGTGAAAAGCAGGCTGGAAAATTATTAAATAAATGTGAATAATGCAGGAATGTCCTTGAAAACAGAATCCAAAGAAAAATGAAAGTTGGTTGTCAACAGAAATGGGAAACAAGTTTAAAATTAAAATCTTTAAATAAAAATGTTCAGTGTTGTAAAGAATGCTTAATCAGCCAGGATAGAAAGGTAGAAAAGATAAAAAAAAAAAAAGGTACTTTAGAACATCCACACAACTTCATATTATGCAGTTTGTAAATGAAGCATAGCAGCAACTAATAAATAGAGGGGGAGTGTAGGCAATGTGAGATAAATAAAAAGCATAGTTTAATTCACAGTATCCTTGGAAGGAACAAACCACTGCAGAGACTTTTTTTCAATGTGGCAAAAGACTGTTAATGATTAAATGGAGAATGAACTAGGTTACTGCAGCCACCAAATTACTGGGTTAGATAATAGCAGTATCCTGTTAACTGGCATAATGCATGCTAATATATACAGCCTGAATCATGGAACTTACAGTTGGTGCTGTGTTGATAATCACTGTCTATGATCCTCTCAACATGTATATTTCATGTGCTTACCGTCCAACTACCATTTTCTTTTTTAGACAAGGTGCATCTCTTGGTAAAAATCACTACATTATCATCTCCATCCTCATCATCATCATCATCCTCATCGTCCTCTTCCTCTTCATCATCATCATCATCATCTTCATCATCATCGTCGTCGTCGTCATCATCGTCGTCATCATCATCTTCATCCTCCTCGTCATCATCTTCTTCGTCATCTTCATCTGCATCTTCATCTTTTTGAACAGAACTGCTGGGGTGTGGAAGGACAAATGTAGCAGATGTGTTTGTGCTACCTGTAGGATCTGCTTCACTCTTCCTTATGATCTCTTGGCTTTCTTCAAACTTCTTCTGGAATTCTGCAGCTATTTCACTTGTCTGCAAAGATCCCAGTTTCGAAATAAGTACCATACACATTTCTCATATGGTAACAATAAAGAAAAAATCTATTAAGATGATTGGAAATCTATTACAGTTCATAGGTAGCATTTTTTTAAAATCTTAAAATTTTAATGAATAAATAGACACATCACACAAACTGACACAAAAAATTAAGAAAACAAACCTTAAACCTGATTGCTAGCTTCTCATCCGTGCCTTCTAAGCTCTCGGAATAATCCTTGGCATACCAGCACCAGGCAGTTTCTGAAGTCTCCATGGGTCGTAACTGAAGTTGGGTTGTTAGGTAGTGGTTGCAACACAATTTGTGGACCTGTAATTATACATGGTGAGATATATCACTTCTGTAATAAGGAGGGGGAAGGCCTATATATTTCCTTTGTACATCCTTTAAGGGGACCATCTGGGCAGGTATTGGCTACCATGGTCAATCTTGACTTATCCCTGATGGGTGACAAAAATTAATGAAAATTTTAAACTATGGAGATTTGTGGCAACAAGCAGACACTGGGCATGGGAGTCTACTACATCAAGCCAAACATCCTGCTCAAAGCACTCTGGCACATCGCAACGTGTACAGCTGTACCCCGCAGACCGCAGACCACGCCGATAGGCATGGCCCGTCAGCGTTGGGTTAAAAGCATGTATGAAATAAAACCCACATGAATGATAGCCACCAAAAACCTCCTCTGTTATTTCTGCATTTTCACTCAGATCTGCATACATGTAAATGTAACCACAGAAATTTTAATGCAACACTACCCTTTCCTAGCATTACAGATGTCCAAGCTAGCTCCCTCTATATGCCAGATATGGATGGATTTGTTGAAGATTACAATAATGGGATTTTTTTAAAAAAGAAATTAAGTTCTTAAAGCCTTTGTACACTAAATATGGTTTGCATGTGCTATGTGGTGATGTGTTTCTGGAGTTCACTAAGAACAAGTACATCAAAGAATTAATACGTTAATACAAATTAAATAACATGTAAAATAGCACTCTATGCATCAGCTGTCTGCCATTAGTTAATTATCCCCTTCCATTTGATTCTTTCTGTTGAAAATAATCTTATAATGAATTACATTAATTATTATTAGTCTTGGTTACACTGCATACTGCTGATTCCTTCAAAATACATTGAAGCATATAAATATCTTAAATGAACATAGCACTGGTTGATTGCTGAATGGCCCACTTTTTTTTGTCATTTTTACAAAAGTATCAATATCAACTGTAATCCAAATCATTACAATTTTTTTCAGTTCTATCTTATATAACACACACTGGATGACAAGAAATTCATTGTATTGTACAATTTTCTTTTTTCATAAATAAAAACGAGAGGCTATCATTATCATTATTCTTTAAGCAGAGGAAATTAATAATTCCAATACCACTGACCAACGACCTTTCTTTTCTTGGAAAGAATATTCAAACATGTAAAGACAATTTTTGGCTATAGTTGGAAACCATATACCTAAAAAACTAAAAGGAATTTGCAAAATCAGAAAATGACAGTCTGGCTGCAAAGACTAGTTATCTTTATATTTTTATGTATTCTTAACAACAGTTACAATTTATTTACCTCTTACACCCATGCAAAATTTCAAGTAAATTTTCAGTCTCTGGAGGGTGATAACCTCCCATAAGGATAACTCAAAGGAACTATAGCTTCAATCTCAATGTGTTTTTTTTTTTTTTTCAGTCCCCTCTAACATTGGAAAAAAAAAAAAAAAATTACTAACAGGGGGCAAACATTATGCAAAATCAAAGGTAGACTTATTTTCATTTCCATAATTTCCCTTGAATTCAGGCCTTCATCACTACATTTCAACTCTTAGGCTTGTAATACTTGTAAAAATCAAACAAACCTGTTCTCTCCTTTGCAGTAAGCGGAATTTATTTGTGGCTGGGTCTCGAAGGATTTTGAAGTCTCCAATGCCTCTCTCTTTCCACTGTTTTGAGCCACTATCATAACGATACAGCTTGCCACGGTTGCTAAATATCACTTCTAAGTCCTCCTCTCCGGTCTTCACCTGTTCAGAGGAAATATACATTTGCAGATATAAGTGATCTGTGGCTACAGCACACCCACATCTTTTGGCATATATGCAGAAACTGATTTGTAAATTAAGTCACATATCACTTGTGAACTCACCTCCACCAAATCCGGTAATGGTACAACAGGTTCAAAGTGGGGATCATGATCATTTTCAACTACATCATCATCATCATCTCCAGTCTTCTTTGGAGATTTCCCAAATATTGGTTGTCCTTTTGCAGCCCAAACTGCATCTGCTGCTGCTGTGTCTTTAATGGAAGAAAATACAAATAAAATTTGGTTTAACCATTTCAATTGAATACTATCTAATATTAAGCTGTATCAAAATCAACAACTTTATTAGCATATGTATATTTACGAATAGATGGTGTTGAAAACTTACTTTTCTGACCAAATCCACTTTCATTAGATTGTGAAGCTAGGTCTCCAAATGATAACATATTTCCACTACTAATGGTGGAAAACAAACTTCCTTCTGTTGATTTTGTTGTGCTACTTGATGTAGTATTTTCTGTTGATGTTGCAACAGCATTACCAAATATGCTTGGTGATCCTGAGGTCTTGGCATTTCCAAAGAGTCCACCAGCTGAACCAGCAGACCCACCAAATATACTTCCACTAACATTACCTCCAAATATACTGCCAGTACTAGTGACACTAGAACTGCCAAATATACTAGGTGAACTGCTGGCAGTAGTGGTAGTTGCAGTAAAGCCTCCAAATGTACTGGTAGAACTACTAGTAGCAGAACCACCAAAAATACTGGGAGAATTTGTAGTGGAGGCGCCTCCAAACAGACTATTAGGAGCAGGGGACCCTCCAAACACACTGGGAGCATTTGCAGCAGTAGAGCCTCCAAACACACTGGGGGAATTAGTAGCACCCCCGAAAAGACTAGAACCTCCAGTGCTACCCCCTAAGATTTTAGGAGTTTCAAAAATGCTTGGAGACTTTGGTGGTCCTTTTCCAAAAACTGCACTTGTGAAAGGCCCTGCACTTATTCCACCAAGTATGGATGATGCGGAAGTACTATTTGCTGGGGTTGATGCAGATGGTATTGTCTGCTCAACTTTTCCCTGTGGAAAAATGTGTCATCAGTAAATAAATACAGAGAAAAGAAAGAGAAAATGCATTAACAAGCTTACACATTTCAGTAACTGTGCCTTATAATACATGATATATGTATTACTGCTAAACTTACAACTGTTTCTTCCTCTTCACAACAGCCCCGGCAGCCGAGGCAAGGAGGGGCCTCTTCATACAAATAGAAATTATCAGGAAGCTGCAGCTTTCTAGCTTTCTGTACTTGTTCAGGTGTAGCTTTCTTCTCAAAAAGTACCTCCACCACATCTATGTTCCAAAGATAGTGAAAAAAGAGAGAATGTTAGAACTATTTTGCAATGTAATACCTTGAAATCTATGAGATAATAGAAAGGTGTTCTTCAAAAGAAATCAAAGATTTTCCTGAAAAAAAAAAGATAGTAATATTAACACAGGTATACACCCCTTTCCCTTGTGTGGTCTTTTTAATAACCAATGTTTCACAATAAAAATACGTTATATATCTTAAGATAATTTCACAATGAAAAGCAACTATGTGCTAAACTTGGCACTGATTTGCATTCACAGCAGTTATATTTGCATTTCCACTGTTATATACTTAAAATCAAAGTTTCATTAACTGAAATGAAGGAAGCATATCAGTATCTAATTGATTATGTGCAATAATCAATTAGATAAGCAGTTTACAAATATCTACACCTGTCTGTACTTAGGACAGGATTTCTTTCTTCTTCTTATATATTTTCCAGAAACAAGAGCAATGAAAAGTATCAAGAATAAGCAAAATTATATAAAACTAATCAATTTAAGAAGAAAAATGCAAACAAGAATGAAAAAAAGTAATATATGTATAAAGATGAATTGATATTTTAGTTACTTTAGATTTCTTATTCTTTTGTAGACATGCTTTTATGTGTATGTGTGCATGTATGTGTGTGAATGTCATTATGTCTATATATATATACACACACACACACACGTGTGCGTGTGCGTGTGCGTGTGCGTGTGCGTGTGCATGTGCATGTATGTGTGTGAATGTCATTATGTCTGTATATATATATACACGGTGTGTGTGTGTGTGTGTGTGTGTGTGTGTGTGTGTGTGTGTGTGTGTGTGTGTGTGTGTGTGTGAGAGAGAGAGAGAGAGAGAGAGAGAGAGAGAGAGAGAGAGAGAGAGAGAGAGAGAGAGAGAGAGAGAGAGAGAGAGAGAGAGAGAGAATGAATGTGTAAAAAAAAAAAAAAAAAATATATATATATATATATATATATATAAATAAATAAAAATAATGAAAAACTAACATACTCTATACAGTTGGCCCTTTACTCACTCTTGCTTGGTATTGCAGTAACCTTTACTCATGCCAGATGACAAGTTGTGCTCAGTCAAGCCTGCACTAAGTTGTGTATTACACAGTTATTTGTTCGTTTAGCTCTGGTTGTCAAAAGTAGGCATGAAGTCTCTTTTTAGCCTTATTTCCTTAAAGGTTGTTTATGCCAACAGCCCCATACTTTGTTTCTGAGGTTCTACTTTTCTTAATGCAAGGATTGTAGCTTTTTAAGAAATTACAGAAAGAAGTAAAATAAGTAGCAAAATGCAAAGCTGATGTTAACAATGATATGGCGGGAAGACTTGACTGCCCATCTTGCTTGCAAAAGGGGGAACAAGGAGGATGCCTACTTTCAACAGCCTACTGTTTTCAAATATTCCTATTTCTTCTTCACTACCACATGTACTATAAATCCCGTAGTACAAAATACTGTGTGTTATAAGATACTCTTTACAGCAAAGAGTTTTGGAAATTATTAGAGAAAATAATATTGGAAAAGCAGGTAATTTTGATGTATTATGACTGCATCTTTATTATTTTCATGTAATCCAACTCAAAGCCTCTAGGCCAACTAAAATATTGTATTGGGCTAGAGCACACAATCATGGCAGGATCCATCATGTGCAGATAACTGACATGCTCAATTTCATGCCATATACATACTGATAACAATTCTGGTATGTGGCTCTGATACTGGCAAGTATAATGAAATGAGGTACTGTAGCTATCTTTTTTTGCTTTAATTCCCACAAAAGCAGTCAGTCACCACAGTGCCAAATACATATGATAAAAGGGCCATAACCATGGCATGGGACAACGTACATGCCATCCATTAAACATTTAGACCAAACTTGCAGGTAATGAGATCCATAAGTGTTACACTCATAAATGATCTGGACCAACTGTAGAATCTTAAATAAATAAACAAATATGTAGCATTTATATACATATCAACAGAATCACATTCCCTACTTTACCACTGATTAGTTACTGATGACTCTGCCCATCAGTAACAAGTGTTTAAAAAGCAGGAGGTTTCATTTGAGTCTTTATATATCCAACTTTTAAAAGAAGAATAAAAAATCTAAGCTTAAATATAAAAGCTTTAGTTAAGCAAGACTATTAGCTACAAATACTTTGGCTTGTTGCTACTTTAACATATGAATATAATGATCACCTTCACTGTCATCATCATCTGCCTCACAGCCCACACAGCCTGGGCAGCTTGGATGTTCTTTGTAACTATAGAAATTCTCAGGGAGCATTAATGCCTTGGCATGGCATTTCTGCTCCTCATTACTGCTCTTAATGTAGACCACCTCACAGTCTGCTAAGTGAAAGGTTATCAACAATGCAATATCAGGAAGCCAATATTAAAAATTGTTGAAGTTACTTGCAACTACTCAGACAAAACGAAAGTATTAATCTGATGTTTGTAGTACAACCATGCTCCAAGTGGAAAACAAGACAAAAGTCGATCAACTTGTTATTCCAAGTTCAAGCCTAATTTTAGTAACTGCTTGTAATCATTACCGTACAAAAATTTCTAGAGGGATTAGTCTTAATACAATGTGAAGTATTTTGAGTTACTTGTGTTCGAAAAATTAGTGATCTTAGGGAAGAGAAAGGTTGCAGGAATTGCTGTGACAGAACAGGAATGAAAGGATATGCACACACAAATCACTGAATAGACAAATGGTCTAAAGTTCACCATCACTGTAATAATAATCAACTACAAGCTGTTTTGTTCAAAGAGTATACCGAAAATGGTATTGAAGTTGATTAATCTATCTTCAGTATCTTAACAATGCTATTATGAATGGAAAAAAGTACTTTTCATTCATGAAAATCATCCCACTCCACCTAACTTACCTAGAAATTTATATCTAGAATAAAAGAGAATAGACAACAGAATGATTCAAACTACCAACTAAAAATCAATGGTCCTGGGAGATTGGTGTCCAAAATTATATATTTCTTTTCCCCTGGTGATATAAAGTTTTGAAAAATGACAATAATAATAATAATAAAAACAATACCAAAAATATACCTCAGCCCATACCCTCCACTTGCCTTAAATGAAGACAATCTGGTGAAAGTCATATTTCAATTCCTAAGCCCTTGTGTAGAGTCAAGCTTTCTCTAATATAAACAAAAACTAAAACGGAATAACTTTAAACACACTTTTCATTCTACTATCACTTCACCCCACCCTTTTCCCCAAAAAATAGCATAATCATTCAACACAATTAATTAACTGGAGAAAAGAAGGAAAATATCTTCCTTTAAGAGATACTATGAAGATAGTTTTAATAATGGTTAAAACTATTTGGTTAGCCAAAGATTTTTTAGATAACAAACTTTCAAAAATGTGAGCAAGAAAGGTCAATGGAATTTTCTAACACTTACCGTCAGCATCTGGATTTAAGGAGAATTTGTCTCCAAAGCTAAAGGTGCTTCTTGGGGTGGTAGACATTGTAGTCGCTGCTCCAAACACTGTCATATAAATATCATAGCATCACTGTCCATTTCAAGGATATATTTAGTACAATATCTTCAATAACAGCAAGAGTATAAGCAAACAGAGACTGCCAAAAAAGAAGCACTATCTGGTTGAAATTTGAAAGATAAGATTGTTCAGATGTACGATTACAATTTATAGACAAATTGAATACATTTCCCTACAAATGAAATAGTATCAAATCTCTTGTGGCATGACATTAACCCTTAGAATCCGGATGACATGACAATCACATCAATAAAAAATTTGTTTTTTTGGGGCAGGTGACATTTACATGCCATTGTGGGAAATTTTAGCCAAGGGCTGCGGTGATGCAAACTTGCCATCACTGGAATTTCGAACGAAGGCCAGGGTGACAGGAATGACTCACCACTAAGGTATAAAGTTTTTATGTATTTCCATTGATAAATGAGTGTGGAATGTACCATCTGTGAGCCATAATTGTTAGAGTTCAGGCTCCAGGGAGGATGCTGTTTCCATGCTTAGGATCCAATTCCTACCCACTGTGACCAGTGATGCAGGTTGTATTACAGAAAGAGAATGTTATGGGAAGAAAGAAGAAAAGTGACAAATAACAGTGTTACTCATTCTTATTATAGCACAGAGTTGTGAACTACCTACAGATGTGATATGGCGTCTGTGCAAGGAAAACAGTCTATTACTATCTGGATAAAGCAAATCAAGTGACCAAGAAAAGAAAATGGAAAAAGAAAAAGGAAAAAGGGAAAAGAATGAAAGAAAGAAAGAAAAAAAAAGCCTACAAGCTGTACAACTGACAAGAGTAGCCACTCAAGTAAACCTACTGCCCGTATCTTGGGCCATATGATGGCAGTGAAGCATCCGGATCCAATGGGTTAACTTATGATGCTGCAAAACTATTCAGTGATAAAACAAGCAGCACTAAGGTAAACGGGAACTTTAGATAAATTACAAATTCAAATAAACATGTGCCACAACTTAGTTTTATAGTCATGTAATGTAATTTGTAATGGCAGTTTTGAAATCTTCAGACAAGGGACAAGTCTATAAACTGCGATTATACAAACCATCTAATTTTCAGAAGTAAATTATATACATAAAGGAAAAGTAGGTTTGGGGGAGGAAAAAGAAAAATGTTTGATAAATGTGATCAAAATGGGTGAATTACTGAATTACTGAATACAACTTACAAATTTGAATATCCCTTGATTCCTACCAATTTTCTAAAGCAAGTGCAATTATACATACCAGATGGCCCACCAGCTGCATTTAGTACTCCCTGCTGATCAGGACCTCTTAGTGTGAAGGTAGCAGACACATTAGTGACGAAAGATGGTTCAGTGCCACTCCCAAATATTGTGCCTTTTGTTTCTGTTGATCCAACCAGACATGAAAAGGTGAACCAAGTATAATCTAATTACATGCAACATCTGCTTAATGAATTATGTCAATTCCAAAACGAAAATGCAGACAAATACTCGAGATCCCAAACCCATAAAAAGTGTGAGGAGGAAGTACGATGAAAATATGGATGTGGGGAGGATGAAATATAAGAAAAGCAAACATAGTATATAAAAAGAAAGGAGACTTAACTTGCAAGAACTCACCTCCAAACAGTGTCTTGCTGGGTGTTCCTCCGAAGATAGAGCTGTTCGGCTTGCTTGTAGCGTCCCCTGATGTGGTATCCGCTTCAGCCTTTACAGAAACTGGTGTTGATGATTTGAGCTCAGTCTTACTCTGAGGTGTGTCTGGTGACTTTTCTTTCTTTGTTTCCTCTGATTTTACAGGACTTGATGATACTGTCACTGGACATTCTGTTGGAGTTCCACCTAACTGAACCTGTAAGGAAAGGATAATCATATTAATAAACACTGTACAAAACACACAGAATTTGAGACAAATGATAAATAGTAATCGGTGTCATCTTGCAAAGGATTTTCTTATCTAATACACGGGATACTAATGACATTTATCTCCTATTTTTCTTCTAATCTTCAAACAGATAATTTCATCTTCCCCTCAAAAACTTGCCTTCGCACTATCCACTGCCTTATAAAATTCAGCTGCAATCTCTGGGGTCTTGAAACGGATAGCGAAAGTCTCCTTTTGTGCTTCATTTTCAGTGTAATCAACTGCTGCCCAGTAGAAGGTCTTCTCGTCCTTCTTGCGGAATTCAGTGTCTGCCTTCAGGTAATGGTTCATGCAGATCTTGTGAACCTGCTCCCTCCTCATCAGCAGCCTTATCTTACCATTCTGAGAGAGAGAAAACTCAATTGAACTTAGCTCTTTCCTCATTATATTTAATTCTAATTCTTAATGAGCAAAATTAGGAAATTATAATCAAAAGCAAATGAAAGATTGAACATCAAATAAATTTTACCTTCTTGTGGCACAGGATTTTGACATCACCTATGCCTCGTTCCTTCCATTCTCCACTGACTAAGCGGAAGAGCTTTGACCGATGAGAGTAAAGACAAGTTTCCTCCTCTTCTCCAGTCACTACATCAACCTTGTCAGGTAATGGTATCACAGGCTAAAAAAATAAAGAACAACTTTAGTTGCAATTCTTAAAGATATCAGGGAAAAAAAAATTATATCACTCCAATTAGCATTAGCAGTTATATGCTATGTTACTGGAATAAATTGGTCTCATGCAGTAGTATGAAATAAAAATGACACATGAACTTGTTCTATGTATCAGCAGAGGGTGATGCAGTTCAGGCAAATATTTTTCAAGACTACAGATTAAATTGTGCCAATATAGCTTGTCCTGTTTCAGAAGATATAGAATCAAACAAAATGAAGCAGGGTACATTTTCATAGTTAATTCTAAACACAAAATATCTACAATTAATCTTGGGTCTAAAACTAATAAGTTATATTACAGTACCACCATAAAAATAACTCTTACCTCAAAATAAAGATGGTCTCCTTCATCTTCTTCCACAAGGCCATCTTCTGATTCACACTGACTGATATCTCTTGACCTGGGAGAACGAGCTTTAACTCCAGTGAATGAGAACTCGTACTTTCCAGGGCTACCAAATACAAAGCCTGGTTTTTCTTCTTTGGTTGGTGTTGAGGGCTGCTCCTGGGGCTTAGACTGAGAAAAGGTTGATGAAGAGAAGGCTGAAGTGCCTGCTGTAGAGGCTGACCCAATGCTGGCTGGGGTAGTTGTTGACCAGGAGAAGCTGAATGGCTTGTTGCTTTGTTCCCCAAAGGAGAAAGCAGGTTTGGTTTCTGTTGCAACAGTAGAATCTTGCACAGGTTTTATTGTTACACTGCCTGGGATACCAAATGAAAATGCAGGCTTACTATCAGTGCTGTCTTGGGCAGGTTTTGCACTTGTGCCAAAGGAAAAGGCTGGCTGAGAGGGAGTGGCAGTTGCACTCTGACTTGTGGAGGGAATGCTATATGAGAATGCAGTCTTGTTTTCTGTTACACCAAAGATAAAGCCACTTGAGGTTGAAGATGCATCACTTTTGATGCCAAAGCTGAAAGATGATTTATCACCAGTAGAAGAATCTGCAGTGGGAGCACTACCATCTTTACCAGATTTACATGCAACACATACAGTATCTCCTGCTTTGTTACGCACCAAACAACTATTACACTCCCATGAGCCAGCTGCTGGTTTAAACATGCTTGCCAGAGAATTAAGGGGAGGTTTATCCTCATTCTTTGCAGATTCTTTTGGAGCAGTAGTTGAGGATGGAATACCAAAGCTAAACTGGGGTGTTTGGAGTGTGCTCTCTTTAGGTGGTTCATAACCTGGTTTGTTGCTTGAACATGAAACACAAACATTATCTTCTGGTTTGTTTCGCACTAAGCAGGTATCACACTCCCAGGATCCTGCAGCGGGTTTGAACATAGCAGCAAGTGAACTGGTAGCAGTATTTGAGGGTTTAACTGGGGCAGCTTCAGAAGCAGCTGTGGTGTCTGAAGTGTCCAACTCTAGAGATTTCTGGGCCTTTTCAAATGCTGCCTTAAAGCTCAATGCCTGTAACATAAACATAATGAAAGATTATATTATTTACTAGGTGACAAATCAAAATATTCTGAATTTTCTTACTGACATCTATAATCACCCCTTCTCCATCAAGGTACCATGACAGTTGAGTTAGGGATCTGGATTCCCATCAGCATGATTAGGAGACAAAAGGTAATGTAACATAACTTACCAATTCTTGGGTCTTAAATCTGGCAGCAAACCTCTCTTCCTTCATTTCTTCATCTGCAAAGTCATGTGCAGCCCAAATCCATGCCTTGTCTGATGTCTGCATTTGAGTCAGTTTTATCTCTGGTGTGAGGAAGTGATTGGCACACACCTTGTGGATTTGTTCACGGCGCATCAAAATGCGAATCTATAAGAGAGGTACCACATCAGCAAATTTTTAAAAATATAAAAAACATCTAAACCACAAGTTATTTTCTCATATCACTTTTTCCAAAGTAAATGGCAGTTCACTCATATTACCTTCTTAGTTGTATTGTTCTTAAGGATCTTCAGCTCGCCTATGCCTCGTTCCTTCCATTCCTTGGTGTCCTTATCAAAGCGGAAAAGCTTTGCTCGCTCGCAGAATAATCTCTCTTCTTCTTCCTCACCTACAAATGGTAATTTCATTGGAGCATTATTCACTTCCCTTCCTTTCTTTCAGAAATACTTTTCCAAAAAACAAATGAAAGTTCTCCCACCCACCCACTTACCTGTCTTGACCTCAACTAGGTCTGGCAGAGGAACAACTGGCTGGAAGTCTACCTGAGGTTCATATTCTTCTACTTTGTCATCCCCATCGTCCTTACTGGGTGACTTTGCTTGCGAACCTCCAAACAAAGCCTTTGGTTCGAACTGGAAAATTAAGATTTATTTTCATATTTTGATAACCATTCTCTTGGAAAATATTTCGACACGGTGTCAATACTTTTGGCAGCTTCAATCATTTTAATTATCTTAATTATAATAATGAATTTTCCCAAATATCTTAAAAATTGTACATGAAAATTTACATATTGCATTGCAGCTAATGTAATACTTAGTGAAGTAAAAGACATTTCCTCTAGAAATAATTTATAAGTGTTCAAATGTTTGATAAAACTCTTATAGGGATACTATAGAGACCAGTAAGTATTTTTCAGTAATTGTAACAATGAAAATTATTCAAAATCCCATAAAACTTACAGCTTTTGTATCCTTAATGGTAAACACAAAGCTGCAAAGCACTGTGGTGTCTGAAGTGTCCAACTCTAGAGATTTCTGGGCCTTTTCAAATGCTGCCTTAAAGCTCAATGCCTGTAACATAAACATAATGAAAGATTATATTATTTACTAGGTGGCAAATCAAAATATTCTGAATTTTCTTACTGACATCTATAATCACCCCTTCTCCATCAAGGTACCATGACAGTTGAGTTAGGGATCTGGATTCCCATCAGCATGATTAGGAGACAAAAGGAATGTAACATAACTTACCAATTCTTGGGTCTTAAATCTGGCAGCAAACCTCTCTTCCTTCATTTCTTCATCTGCAAAGTCATGTGCAGCCCAAATCCATGCCTTGTCTGATGTCTGCATTTGAGTCAGTTTTATCTCTGGTGTGAGGAAGTGATTGGCACACACCTTGTGGATTTGTTCACGGCGCATCAAAATGCGAATCTATAAGAGAGGTACCACATCAGCAAATTTTTAAAAATATAAAAAACATCTAAACCACAAGTTATTTTCTCATATCACTTTTTCCAAAGTCAATGGCAGTTCACTCATATTACCTTCTTAGTTGTATTGTTCTTCAGGATCTTCAGCTCGCCTATGCCTCGTTCCTTCCATTCCTTGGTGTCCTTATCAAAGCGGAAAAGCTTCGCTCGCTCGCAGAATAATCTCTCTTCTTCTTCCTCACCTACAAATGGTAATTTCGTTGGAGCATTATTCACTTCCCTTCCTTTCTTTCAGAAATACTTTTCCAAAAAACAAAATGAAAGTTCTCCCACCCACCCACTTACCTGTCTTGACCTCAACTAGGTCTGGCAGAGGAACAACTGGCTGGAAGTCTACCTGAGGTTCATATTCTTCTACTTTGTCATCCCCATCGTCCTTACTGGGTGACTTTGCTTGCGAACCTCCAAACAAAGCCTTTGGTTCGAACTGGAAAATTAAGATTTATTTTCATATTTTGATAACCATTCTCTTGGAAAATATTTCGACACGGTGTCAATACTTTTGGCAGCTTCAATCATTTTAATTATCTTAAAAAATAATAATGAATTTTCCCAAATATCTTAAAAATTGTACATGAAAATTTACATATTGCATTGCAGCTAATGTAATACTTAATGAAGTAAAAGACATTTCCTCTAGAAATAATTCATAAGTGTTCAAATGTTTGATAAAACTCTTATAGGGATACTATAGAGACCAGTATTTTTCAGTAATTGTAACAGTGAAAATTATTCAAAATCCCATAAAACTTACAGCTTTTGTATCCTTAATGGTAAACACATTTGATGATGTAGAGCTACTGTTGGCAGCCAAACTGCTGAAGGATACCAAATTGCCTGCTGGTTTGTTGCTGAACAACCCTCCATCCCCAGCCGACTGGCCTAAGAGAAGATAAAAGATGAGAACTTTAAATGTGTTCCTGATTCCAAACAATTCAAAATACAGAGATGAAAAGAAATTTATGGTTTGTTTGTTTTTTCAAAACACACAAAAAATATGTCACTTCAAACATAACACAATCACCTACTAGTCTTTGATATTGGGAAATGCATACAACTCAAAAGACAACCATTAAAAGACACTTACTTGACACTGCAGGACTTCCTTCAGGCTTGCTGTCTTTTGTTGGCACACTGAAATTGAAGTCTGAATTTCCGGAACCAGATGAGGCACTGGACCCAAAGGAGAAACTTGCAAATATTGATTCCTTTTTCTTTTCCTCCTCTTTTGGCTTTTCTGGGACTTCCACCTTATCCTGCTTCAATGTGGGAGTGGTGGTGAAGGTGAACCCACTTAGGGAGAACTTAACAGTATCCTTGGCTGTGTCAGTACTGGTAGCAGGGGTTGACACAGCACTGGAAGAAGTTGGGGCTGAGCTGACCAGGGGGCTGATGGTTGCTTTTGAGGAGTCCAAGCCAAATCTGAAGGCAGCTGGAATAAAAGTGTGATTGTTTTCAGATAAAAATGAACAAAGAACATAATCTTATCAACCTATGAATACCTATTTACATTACAAAACACTGAGCCACACACTATGACCCTATCAATAGTAAAGAAACCTAGATTACTAGAGTTTCAGTTCTGCAAAATTAAGACAGGCAGGCAGCTCAATTTGATCAGGTTTACTTGCAAACAAACATTGCAAAACCCTTTCATAAGCTACATAGCACACCTAAAATAATTTTTCAAGCATCCTTGACAAATTATCAAGTACTTACATCCTGTGGCAGAAGCTGAAGTGGAAGTGTTAGGAGTTGATGCCATGCCAAGCTTGTCTGGAGATGCAGCTGATGAACCTGGAGTATTTGTGGGGGTTTTAAACTTGAATGCGGCTGAAAGGAATGGATAAAACTTTGTGATCACACCAATGGACAAAAGTTAATCCTGATGTAAGCCACACATCCATACTTTCTATTTCACAAAATATTACCAAATGCAGAATATACGATAAAATGTTGTTTTCTGCCCCTAAAGAGCCAATCAAAAGGTTTTTCAAATACACAGCCTCCCATGCATTCAGCTTACCAAAGGGTGTCTGAGGTGCAGCTGATTCCTCAACCTTGGGGGCATTGGGATTGGGAGTTTCACAAGCAGCACATTTGCTCATTTCAGCAGAGTTGTTCACCAGGCACACAGAACAGGTCCAGGATCCTGCAGCTGGCTTAAACATCTCTGCTAGGGATTTTCCTGAACTTGTTTTTACAGGTTCTTGACTCTTAATTGAGTCTCCTGAAATCTGTAAGTAAAAGGTTGATCATATGTTTTCCCTGATAACAGATGAAAAAAGGGTACTCAGAAATTTAACAAAAAATATAAATATGTATACTGAACTGGAGGAAATACCTGCTGTTTCTCCAATTTATCTTCATTCTCTTTGACAATTGCTTTTGCTTTCATGAAAGCATCCTTGAAGCTTGTAGCTATCTCCAGAGTTTTGAATCGACAACAGAACTTCTCCATACGCAATTCTTCATCAGCATAATCCTATTAAAATAAGATTTTTTTTTATATGAAGTATAAACTCTACACTTATGGAATGTCAGATGGAAATTCCTGCTATCTTGAATTTCAAGTAAACAAAGGAAATATATTGTAATCATCAAATTTTTGATATATATAAAAATGAAATCTGAAACAATAAAAGCATATTATTATACCTGTGCAGCCCATATCCAAACTTTGTCATTTCCTTTCATGGCCTGCAACTCTATATTAGAATACACAAGATGGTTGGCACATATCTTGTGGGTCTGAAAAGGAAACAAAGTCTTTAAAATGAACATTTTAACAAAATCTTCATAATGCATATGTATAATAAGATATCTTGCATTCGTTCTACATCTAAATCAAAAGACACTGCAGGAGGATTAAAACACAAATAGCAATTCCACTGAAATTATTACCTGGTCTCTCCTCATTAGAACACGCACAGAGCCCTGGGCTGGGTTGTGCAATAGCTTCATAACACCTGTTCCTCTCTCTCTCCATTCCTTTTCTACAAATCTGAAGAGCTTGGCTCTCTCTTCAAACAATACCTGGAATAACATGGAAAAATTAATGATAACTTTTTTCTCCCTTGTTCTCAATTCCTTCTTCACTAACCTATACAATACTGTCCTTCACTCTATTGCAATTCTATATATCCATCTTAACTTTTCAATACTGATTATGCAATTCTTCAAGACAGGGAGAGGGAGAGGGATAGAGAAAGAGAAAGAGAAAGAGAAAGAGAAAGAGAAAGAGAGAAAGAGAGAAAGAGAGAAAGAGAGAAAGAGAGAAAGAGAGAAAGAGAGAGAGAAAGAGAGAAAGAAAGAAAGAAAGAAAGAAAGAAAGAAAGAAAGAAAGAAAGAAAGAAAGAAAGAAAGAAAGAAAGAAAGAAAGAAAGAAAGAAAGAAAGAAAGAAAGAAAGAAAGAAAGAGAGAGAGAGAGAGAGAGAGAGAGAGAGAGAGAGAGAAATATATGAGTGTGTGTGTTTAACTATCTCAACCTACCTCTTCATCCTCTTCCCCTGTGCGAACCTCCACCTTCTCCGGCAATGGAATTACAGGCTTGAAATCTGGACATGGGTCATGGTCATCCTCTACATACCGATCATTGTCATCATCAGCGGTTTCCTTTGCCTTTGGAGCAGGGGATTCTGTTGCGGTAATGCCCCCAGGACTCTTAAAGGTCCCTGAAAATGCTACAGAAAAGCAATAAATATAAATAAGAATATAAATTAAATGATAAAGTAGAAAGAAAAAGGGTGCAGACTTGCCCCACCACTTTTTAATCACTTTATTATTATTTTTTTTAAAGAAGATTTTGACTATTCCAACCCTGATTAACTACTCTCATGAAGTCTTTAATGATCTACTTCAAGCACCAAGTTTCACAGATCTGTCTTAGAAACAAAGATGATACTAATACAGAAATCTACAGAATGTCATGCAAAATGTTAGTGCTACTTAAGAGCCATTAGTGAGCTGGTTTTAGCACTCTCTATTACATAATACTTCATAAAATTCTCAGACATCACTCTGCAAATCAAAGTTACATTGTGTGTATGTTTTTTTGTATTCTGATTCATCCAATTTCTAGTGGTACTTATTGTTAATCATGAATAAATATTTAAATCTCTAATCCCACCAATTAGTAATTTATAAATGATCAATTGTAATGAAACCTTTTACACAACACATTATACATTATAACCTACACCAATAAACAGATAATCACTCCCATCCTGCTTGTATTAGAAAACATCCAAAGTACTATATATCCACCAAATATGAAAGCTTCCTCTTTCAGATTTTAACAAATTTGAGGAAAAATGCTTGGTTAGACTATATCACAAAACAAAATTAGAAAAATAATTTAGTTTACCACACTCATGCAATGCATTTCCCACACAAGAGCAGCAGCAGCAGCAGTAGCAGCACATAGAACTTATAATCTCAATATCTAACATAACTGTTTTTCCTATTTATGGTTTCCATCAGTGATGGAAGACATAGTAAATTTAATATATAAATATCTAAGATTTGCCTCTTATCCTCCCTGGTAGCCATTTGTTTCTTCATATATTATTTATATACACCTTGGTAGTAAATACTGTGAAAAGATCATCTAAAACTACAATATACAACAGCAAAAGGTACAGAAATTTATCAGCATAACTATAGAATTAAAGCAGAGGTATATAAACCGCAGGATCTGAAGAAATAGTAGTAGTAAAAGCTGTTACAAAGCAAAAAAAAAAAAAAAAAAGTATAGAAGGGCAAAAGCACTACCTATCTTTACAACAACAGAATTTCAAGTTGATCAAGAGACAATCAAGCCACATATAGTTGCCCTATATGTATAGAAAAAAGACACTGATGATGACAAATTCATAACTGTTTGCTGGACCTTGGACTGGAGCCACTGACAAAAAAATTGAAAAACAAAGTAAATATATGAATAATTATCAACCCATTTCAATCCAGATGAGGACACCATGTCATGAAAAAAATTTACTCCTTGGGTGGGTAACCTGAACATACTATAATGGAAAAACTGGGCTGAGGGCCACAGTGATGGGAACAGGTTGCCATGAGAATTTTGGCTGAAAGTCAGGTTGACAGGAAGGACTTGCCATAAGTCAACAAAGCTCTTGGAGGGTGATTAGACTCAGAGGGCATTTAGGAAGGGGGTCTTGGATTATTCCTTTCAGTAAACAAATGTGGACTGTCCCATCTGTAAGCATGACAGGAAGAGAACCAGCTCCAGGGAGCCTGCCAGCTGTGACCATGCAGGAGTAGGATTAAAAAAAGTATATATAGTATATATAGAATTTTTTTTTCATGAAACCATAAAATACTACTTATTGTTATTTTTAGTGAACTAAGTTTGGCCTGCATAGGGGAGATGATAGAGTCTGTGCAAGTACGTGTGTGTGTGTGGGGGGGGATCAGAAAGAAATAACATTGCAAAGGGGAAGCAAAGAGTCTTGACACTGCACGAGTGTTCGTGTGTGCCCACTTGAAAAGCCACAAACCAAGCCTAATGTCTAGATTTTGGGTCACGTGCAGGCAGCAAAGCACCCGGATCCAAGGAGTTAACCCTTAGATGATGATATTAGAAATGTCTCAGCATTATAGACTCCTGTAATTTCTGGGTAACATCGCCACACCAAGCAGTCTGTTGACAGCTATAGGTGTGGCCCGGCAGATACAGGTTAAGTCCACCATACATAATATGTAATATCAAATGATTTATTAAATCTTTACAATGTGGACATGTATGTTCTGACTTTTACCTTTTCCACAACTGAACCTACTACTATTGAGTAAGACATATCTAATTTTTGGTACACACACAAAAGTGAAATATATCTTCCTTACCAAACATATTTGACTAGTACCTAGACAACCTGAAAATGACCTTTACCCTTGTTCAGTGCCAGAGGACTGAGTAAGTGTGTCTGCTGACTATTAGTGAAAACTTTCAGACTCATTCACTCATGAGCTACTACCTAGCAATTATTAATTTTTCTCTATCATTAGTGACTATTAAGTTGGACTCGCCAAAAACATGTCTAACTATGAGTGTTGTATGTGAACTAATAAGTAAGCACTACTACACTGAAGTAGACACAAAATTTACATCAACACCTAAGTAACAAATATATTAGAAGAATAAAACCAACATAAGTTGCATGCAATAGGTGTAGCTTTATCTCCTCTTATGGTTCCAATTCAAAGCTAGAAGTCCAAACATGCACCTTTTGATGTAACTGGCATGGTTGTTTTCCAAAGCAGAAGTCATACATTAGCTAAACGACACAAGACACAGGAGCATGCTAGAAGATTTTTATAGATGAGTTAGTAGAGACAATGGGCCACCTTTACTGGTAGGAGAGAATGAGCCGTATATGTTTCTTTTTTCATACATCATATACAAATGAGGAAGGTGACTAAATTCTTCAATTTAACTCTTTACAGATGGGTGCTAGAGCATGTGGAGCAGGAAGTTTTGCTACGTGTAGTGGACTCCCACACCAAGTGGCTGGACATTACCAGAAACCAGAGTTTATGATGCGGAGAGATTTCTGATACCCATCAGCGTTGGGTTAAACAGCCAGCCAGTTAGTCAGGGTTAATGCATCAAAAATGAATCAAGGGAAAACACTGTATCAACTTATTTTTGTTCCTAGTCTACAGGCCCAGTACTAACTACGACCTTGAACTAGAAGGCAATAAGGGCTTAGTGAAATCTTAGTTTTTTATTTACAAATCAACAAAAAATTTATGTCAAGGCAAGACTTGAGAATACCCTAACATCCAACAAATTCTATGAGTAGAGACAATATATAAACAAAGATAACTATTGATAAAAAAAAAAAAAAAAAAAAAAAAAAAAAAAAAAAAAAAACTTCCACTCAAAAAACTTCCTGATATGTAATCCTAAACTTTCATTCTCTGGGTGTTTTTCCTCTCTATTCCTAGTGCCCTGTCCAAAATAGCTTTGAAAAAAAAAAAAAAACTATACTAATATCACATACAATGTCAGCTGAAGAAATGAGGTAAGAGTCTGACATAGTTACATCACAGTCTCTACATTCATAACCCTACAAGGTAACTACAGCATCATAATCTAGCCTTCCAGCTTCCTTGTCACATCACCCCACATATGCAAGTGATCAAAAAGGAAATCAAAGCAATATTAACTGTACAACCACTTCTAATACTATTATGCTTAATATTTGTAATCTGCTAAATTATGTCAAATGTGTGAAATTCCACAGTCATCTTTTCTTTAGATACTTCTTTACAAGTAAACCTAAGCCTATAAATTAACAGAAAGAAGATTCTATAATACATTTCATCTTCCATTTTTGGCTAATACAGTGGCATAGAATATCCCTTAACCTGAAATTTTAATCACTGTCTTGAGCATAAACTTGGCAACTACATATATAAATACAGAAGCTTTTTACTTTGTTCATAAAATATACACTTTCTAATTAACATGCCAACTTACAAACTCCTGTCAAAGTGAGATATATGCAATGCTTTCATCATGCCAGAAAGATAATACCAAAATGAATAACTCTTAAAAGTTTACTCCTAAAACTAGAAAATGAAGTACCCAACTTATGGTTTTGAATTCCCAAAATTATAACGGTGCAAAGTGATGAACTTCAGTAGAAACTAGACTTTGGATTTTTGTTTTGATTTTTTCCCAGACTAGTGATATGCAATATGATGTTGAGCAATGAATAAGATACAGCTTTTGTGTTAGATCAGTGGTTCCCAATCTTTTTCATTCTGTGAGCCCTGACCAATAATTAATAATCACTGAAAGGCCTCATTCAGTGACTTATTGTTTCAGATGTTGTTATTACTAGTTATGAATAGTGTAATGGTGTCAATATCTATAAGACAAGAACACTATGGAAAGATTTCAATTCATTGATATGTGAGAGAATTATATGTAGGTACTGTAAGAGAGAAAAATCAGTTTAATTCGAGGCAAATTCTCATGTTGCTCCATAGCCCCCTGAAAGGACCCTGTGTTGAATGATGATCTGAGCAATTTCATATATAGGCTAAGCTATGAAGCTCATTTGGTTACCTATAACAAAAGCATTGCTGGCTTACAAATTTCATTAACTTACATTATATTTATTAGGTTAAGACCAGATCATCATAAATCAAGTAATAGTTTGTACTTAAAATATATTAAGAAGCATAAGTTAAAATACAAGCAGCAATTACAGACAACTACTTTACCCAAATGACATGCATATCTACACAAAGACAAGAGAAAACTAATGTGTTTAGAGATGTGTGGTTGACTCCAAAGGAACTCTTGTTTCTGAAGTCATTTCTTTACAAGCAATCACTAACAGACAATAGTGTTAAAAAAAAAATCTATCTGACAGTCTTGTATGCCATACAGATAAATCACACAGGGAACAAGGCAGGAAAACAGTGAACGAGGCTGTACAGGACTTCTAAACCAGCCATGCATCAGCATCCCAAAAGCAACACAAGACATACAAAATAATCGCGCTCTAGACTGGAAGTATGACATACTGATTGTGCAGTCCTGTGAACCAGACGAGGCAGATGGAGCATCCAGATTGTTGGCTGCGGGAGACAAGCCGCCCGTTGACAAATACGGTGACAGTGATTTAACCTGTGACTGGCCTCGTTGGGGGGACGAGTCAGGAGTGACTGCTGAGTACAGGGGGGCGGGTATGTTGGCCAGGAGACCCGTAGCAGAGCATGGAAGGGTGATTGACAGCTGCTCCTCTAGTGTCATGATGGTGATGGATGTTGCAGAGAGAAATCCTAGGCTTAGTTGTGTGAATTTTGTGTCTTTTAGCTCATACTGGCTGATTTGCTCATTCATATAATAAGAGCCCTTTCTTTTAAGGTGTTAGTGAGAAAAGGACTATAATAATTTGTTAAATCCCATAGACCAATGCACATAATATACATTTTCCTTTGTGCAAAAAGTTAGAATACAAGTGTACCATAAATTCAAGACATCATCTTTTGGTGTCTCAGCTTCCTTTAATGTACACTAAATTTCATGCAAATGTTATAGACATTCAACAAGGCACTTGGTAGAAAGAATCTCATAACAAGCCAAGTAACCATCCCATACCAAAATATTTGCATATAAAGTTACAAGAATCTAAAAATACTATGAAAAGCAATTTTGTTAGCAAATATACTAGAACTTTTTTTTTCTCTTATATAATCTTAAATTTGTCTCAGTATAAAGAATAGAGCAGAGACACTGTCTACTGAAAGCACCTCTTCCACTGCAGTTTGAGTCAAGTTCAAAAAGATTTTACCATGAAACCATATAATTCCACACCACTATCTATAATGTTCCAATTAATAATCTGGATAGCCAAGGGTACATAAAATCCCTTAAATGCTCCTTACACAACTCAATAATGCCAATATTGTACAAATAATAAAAGTATAAAAATAAAAAATAGTGTAATTTCTGAACACAAGAAAAGGCAGGGCAAGGACTACAAATATATCTTAAAATGAGGAAATAAAATGAGCATAACCTGATTACAGGAACCAGAGATGGCACATAACCATAAAACTGATGGTATATGTCATTCAAAAATAATTTGCTGTTTACAAAAGAGCATTTCACCAATTCCTAGGATCTTACAAAATTTTATATTTTTAAATCATTAATCTGTCAGTAGTTTTAACTCATAATAAAATTTGTACTTATAACTTTTTAAAACTATAACATAAGGCTAATTTTTTTTCCCCTAGAAAAAATATATATTAAACTGTTATACACCCATACTATAAGTCTTGAATGGGCAATGGAATAATGTTATAGTAATTCCATATTCTCTCTCATTTATATGTAATACATGATATTTCTCCAATCAAATCAACCAGAACTTATAAGGGTTAAATATAGTTGCCTCCACATGTTTTCTTATTGGTAATCTACAGCAACTTCCTAGTTAAAGATATACTTAATAGTTGAATAAAAGAATATTCCAATGACACAATCTTATGCCACGAACCTTTTCTTTAATTCAAATGCAAAAATACTGATATTATATAATACTGAAATAATCATAGAGGTGAAAACCTACAGGAAAATGCTCAGTATAATTTGAAATTCCTTCAAATGATGCAAACAGTGCTAAAAGTTTTGAATCACATATTTAGTACCAAAGCAGACAGGCAAGAAAATTGTATAAAACTGAGATACAAGTTTTTATCTTCTGTTTAGCAAAATCGAGCAAAAAATAGTAATAACAATAACAACAGTAACAGTAATAATATTAATAACAATAATGATAATATTGTACTATCAATGTCAAACTGAAACGATATAAAAAATAATAATAAAAAAAGAAAAAGACTCACCAGGTGCAGAAGCAGGTGGTGGTGTCAGAGCTGCAGACACAGCTGGCATTGTAATCTGGAAGGCATGAGGAGCACTGGTAACAGGTGGCATTATCTGCGCACTGCTGGTGGTGCCAGATGAAGAACTAATGCCCTGTGCCACACTCCAACTCACATTACCCAAGTTTGTTGTAGCAAGACTCTGGTGACCATAAAATCATGTTTTGGGTTAGGTGTTGTATTCTTATTCCTAAGTTTTACAACTGGTTTAAACAAACAAAAATATTCATTATCTAAAACAAATACAAAATCTCTTAACACTAATAAATAAAACCAAAATATAATTTAAAGACAAAAGGATTGCTGTATACAAATAAATGCACAAATATATAAATAAAGAAATATAAACAAAGTTTGAGTAAAGAAACCATAATAGAAAGGTATCTTTAAGCAACTGCTTTTTAACTAAATTTATAATGTACAAGTAAGGATCAACAAAACCACAAAATTAAATGAAGAGAATAAAATTCTAGTGTGGAAAAAGCTTCATCCATACCACACACTGACCTTTAAACTCACACAAAACTACAATTCCAAAGACTTGCCTGTGCAACAGTGATTCCAGAGGGTGATGGCAGTGGCTCCTTAGCAGTAACGATAGCAGGGGAGCCAAGAGCCTGGGTCACTATTGAAGATCCTGTCTGACTTAGACTGGTTACTGTTGTCACCTGGCTAACACTTGATGGCATGCTGATGAAGAAATGCAAAAGTAATGAAATTAAGCTTCCTTTGGTAACAGTCCTATTAACAAAAAATATTTATCACACAGATGCTAATGGCATACTTATACTGACTGGAAGACTTCAAACTGACTGAAAACACTGAATACTTTTGCATTATTACACTGAACACACCTGTATGTCTGGTCTGGGAGAGTGGAAGGTGGGAAGAAAGGAGGGTTCCCAAAGAGCCCTGGAGTCGGCATCAATGGGTTGGGTACAGGTTGCTGACTGTAGTATCCCATGTAACCACTGTATATTCCGGCTGGCACTACTGCTGGTATAAAAAAAATATATAATTGTATTTTCCTTTTCTCTTTATAAACGAGTCATACAATAACACATCATTTTATAGCACACTGATGAAATATAATTTTTTCAACTTCTTTAGTGGCTGGAGATAATGGAGGAGATTCCCCAGTCAAAAATATGGGTAAACTTACCAGCAGGAATGTCTACAGCTACCTGTTCTTCACTGGCCTTTGCTTCAACAACTTCAGTATGCTGAAAGAGTTATTAATATTATTAACCCACTAATAAAAAAAGGAACAAGGAGAGCAAATATACATGAACACTTTTAATCACTAACACCAAATAAGCAATTTGAAGAACAGCTTTGCAGCAATAACTTTGGAGAGGAAGGCAGAGAGCAGAAGAAGAAGAAGAAGAAGAAGAAGAAGAAGAAGAAGAAGAAGAAGAAGAAGAAGAAGAAGAAGAAGAAGAAGAAGAAGAAGAAGAAGAAGAAGAAGAAGAAGAAGAAGAAGAAGAAGAAGAAGAAGAAGAAGAAGAAGAAGAAGAAGAAGAAGAAGAAGAAGAAGAAGAAGAAGAAGAAGAAGAAGAAGAAGAAGAAGAAGAAGAAGAAGAACAAATATATCAACCCTTCTTGAGCTACACTTGCCTTTGCATCTGCTTTCATGGCTCGCAATTCTGCTACATCAACTGCTATACTTTGAACTTGAGTCTGAAGACAGAAAAGAACATTATTAATAAGTCAGATGATGAGAACTGATTCACTTCCACTGATATTGGATTTTTATATTTCTCAAATAGCATTTGAGGACTGTCAAAATCTATAACAATAATACACAAAAATCTAAACTATGATGAGCAAATCAATCTTACCTGCAGGTCTTTTATACTTATTTGAACTTGCTTCATTTCATTAAGTACAGCATTATATGCTTCCTGGGAGATACTTTTGTTCTGTTCGAGAATACTGCGGAACAATGAAGCATTTTCCTTGACCTCTTGCGCCATTGTAGCACAAGTGTCTCTGAGAGCTTCATTCTGGGCTCTAAGTGCCGCATTCTGTTCTTCCATATTCCTTAATGTGTCCTCCATGTTCCTCAATGTATTTTCCTGAACCTCTGAGATAGCTCTCACCTGTGCATCCAGACGTTCTGGGCTTGGACGGGCCTCCTAAGATAAACATTGGCAAATATTCATATTAATATCCAGAGATAAGGATCAACATAATTATTTACTACCATGCCCATGATGTGGAAGAGGAGAGAATTAGAGAGAGAGAAACAGATAAAAAGCTATGAAATTTATATCAATTATTCTTGAAATAATAGCTTTGCACAAAAATATTTTTAAATCACCTGTCTTGTTATTCTGCTACTATTTCTGTTGTCCCTGTATGGTGTACTAAAAATCTGTGGAGGCTGAGATGCATTTATAACATGTCCATTAGCCAAATCAGGTCGAGGGGACTGGGAGGCATCTGAAATGGACTCTGTATCATCCTCTCGCTGAGTGTGGGTATCTTGGTCTACACTCATGTGTGAAAGTCGCCTTTCAACATCCTCCAGCTGCTGACTCAACTTTGTGTTGAGAGGATGAAAACGATCTACACCTGCAAAAAGATGTAACAGTTATTCATGTTCAACATGCTTAAAAAATATATAATAATAATAATAATAATAATAATAAAAAAATATAATAATACTAATACTACTACTACTACTAATAATAATAAATAAAAAATAAAATTTTATCATGTATAAATCTTGCATACACTGTATACATTACTGAACACTACAAGTTACCTGGCATCCGCAATCTATCAAGAGTGAGATAAAGGGTATCTCTTGCTTGTGTTAACAGAATGGTGTGTTGTGAACGCATGTCTGCCGTCATGGCTTCTACACCACCTTCACCGGTAATAGCTTGGGCCTGTTCTTTATACAACTGAAAGTAAAAGAAGATTAAACTGTAGGACTAATTTCATCTTTTTAATAACCTATATCACAGAATAAAAATTTATTCCACTTAATAAATTATAAATATTGATGTTTTACACTATATGCCTAAATTCTGCTTAGTTATAGTTAGACACTGCATACAAATGAAAACATACATTTTCATTTAAAAAGATGACAAATAAGTAAAAATATGAACTTGCAAAAAATTCAATTAATCAATCAATAAAAAAATATATATAATAATAAATAAATAAATAAATAAAATTTAAAAAAAATAGATAAACAAAATACAATAAATTAATCACATACCATTGCCCTCTGGAATGATGCTTCAGGACTTTTCAATTCTCCAAGTGCTTGTATGGCCTCCTGCAGCTTCCCTGCCTGTACTAGTCTCATGGCTAGGAAGTATTTCCCTTCCTCCTCAACCTTGGAGCGCTCCTCTGCACTTAGAGATATGCTAAGAAGAAACAACGCTTTTAGAATCATCTTTGAAACATATATTGAAAAAAGTTTATATGCAAAACATATGTAAATTTGCCTAATACTTGTAAAACAGCTTGTTAGAATGTATTTAAAGTATATTTCCTTACTTTTGTACAACAAATAGTCTATTCCTTGGTGTAACATTTATGACATTCCTTGCAGCCCTTTGGCAAAGTGTGAGTACTCGATGCCAGTAGTGTTCTGCCCGGTCCTCTAGAGCATCTACTTCACTTGCTGTACTTCCATCCTCTTTGGCTGCTGTTGCCTGAAATGCAATAAGTGAGTTAGGAAACACTAGTGGACACACACAAATTAAATATAAATACACAAACATAAAGAAGCTTACATTACAAAAGATATACAACTCATATACATACCCAGGTAGAAAAGCATTGTGCCAAGTGTGCCATAAGAGCTAAGTCAACACCATGGTTGCCAACAGCTCTTATGACCTCCAGACCCCGCTGCAAGATCATACGCAGCTTACTAAGCCTGTGGTGAGCACGGTTGGTAAAGAGCGTGTAAGCAGCAGTCCACCATTCTGCTTGCTCAGTTGTATTGAGAACTGATGCAACCACTGTTGGCATGGAGGCTGGAGGAGGACCTGAAGACCAAGAGAATTATAAGAAATAATATCTACTTTGGTCAATATATAATGTTAACATTAAAATGTCAAATTAAAAGTAGTAACAGATTCTACTACATCAAGTGCAAAGGCAAATAAGCATTGGAAACAAACTTGATTTAACAGCATCACCATGAAGAGATAACAGTTGCTTGCCAAGTTTAGATATAGTAAACAGTGCTGCACATTTATATTAAAACAAAAAGTAACAATTTTTATTATTATTATTATTATTATTATTATTATTATTATTATTATTATTATTATTATTATTATTATTATTTTTAAAGTATATTTCCTTACTTTTGTACAACAAATAGTCTATTCCTTGGTGTAACATTCAGTAGTGTTCTGCCCGGTCCTCTAGAGCATCTACTTCACTTGCTGTACTTCCATCCTCTTTGGCTGCTGTTGCCTGAAATGCAATAAGTGAGTTAGGAAACACTAGTGGACACACACAAATTAAATATAAATACACAAACATAAAGAAGCTTACATTACAAAAGATATACAACTCATATACATACCCAGGTAGAAAAGCATTGTGCCAAGTGTGCCATAAGAGCTAAGTCAACACCATGGTTGCCAACAGCTCTTATGACCTCCAGACCCCGCTGCAAGATCATACGCAGCTTACTAAGCCTGTGGTGAGCACGGTTGGTAAAGAGCGTGTAAGCAGCAGTCCACCATTCTGCTTGTTCAGTTGTATTGAGAACTGATGCAACCACTGTTGGCATGGAGGCTGGAGGAGGACCTGAAGACCAAGAGAATTATAAGAAATAATATCTACTTTGCTCAATATATAATGTTAACATTAAAATGTCAAATTAAAAGTAGTAACAGATTCTACTACATCAAGTGCAAAGGCAAATAAGCATTGGAAACAAACTTGATTTAACAGCATCACCATGAAGAGATAACAGTTGCTTGCCAAGTTTAGATATAGTAAACAGTGCTGCACATTTATATTAAAACAAAAAGTAACAATTTTTATTATTATTATTATTATTTTTAAAGAATATATATGTTTACCATCTTATAATTTTCTTTGTGTACCATCTAGCAATGAATCTATAGACTAATCTTGTAAATAAAGAGAACCTGTAACATGAAACTTCTACATTTATTCTGTAGTGCAAGGCCCTTAACCCACTGGATCCGGTTGCATCATGGACATCACATTAGTTAGCTTGTGCCTACTCATTGTCAGCATGAATGAGGGAGTATGGCATTAGATTTGAAGGGCAGTGATTTTAATCTACCAAGAGCAATCATAAAAAATAAAAAAAACTATGGAAAGAAAATGCAAAAATAAATTGGAAGAGAAACAGCTACCAACCTTAATATAATCTATAATGTATTTAAAAAATAAACAAACAAATAAATAGCAACAACAACAATAAAGAACATTGCTAAACTCACCATTATTCTCTTTTCCAGCTGCAATTTGGCAATACACAGTTGCAGCCAAGAAAGCTAGGAGATCAAGATGGCACAGGGTCTCTGGAGCCCCTGTATTGACATTGGTCGTGGAAAACTGAAGACCTTCAAACAATGTATATGTGTAGTATGGCTGTGGCTCCTTGCAACTGGTTGGGGCTTGCTGCAGACACAACCACACCATGTCACGCAAACTTGAGCAGTACATGGTTCCTACAACTGTCATAGAAAAGCAAAGACATATCAACTATACTATGAAAAACAAAAGTACATATAAAATGTATGCAGTGTACAGTGTATGTCTGAAAAATGCCAAGGTTTCTTTTTTAACATAAAACACACTCTTTCACAGTGTTTTAACATGGAAAGATTTCAGGGATGAATAAAGTATTTTGCAGCACTTACCATTATCCCAGACTTTTACTTGTTCAGCTTCAGGATATGTCAGGGGCTTTGAAATAAACTGCTCATCACCGAGGAAAAAGCTCCCCTCCTTCTTGTTGGCATTAGAAGCCCCAAACAGAGTCAGGTAGATGTTCTCCTGAGCTTGCTTATTACTGCACTGTTGTTTCACTTTGTTTAAAAACTTATTCTTTTCAGATTCAGTTTTAGCCATATGGTTAAGGACATGAGCAGCCTGAGATAGTCTGTGACAAGTTAATTTATACCAGAATTGATCTCTTGAACTCCACGACTTTGACTGCGTGGCACTTTCAGAAGACCGGTATCTGCAGGCATGAAACAGCAGAGCTCCAGCACTGGTACTTGTGTGAGTAAGGCCATCCTGAAAGACAAAATCTCACTTCAATTAACAATATCAACAATTCACAATATCAACTGGAATCCAAATACTGCAATAGCCAACTTGTAATTTTTTAATATCAATTTTATAAAATCTGAACCTTTCCTTAAATTATAATTCAAGATGTGTTAAATGTTTGAATTGTTACCTTCTTTGCATTTTGTAAAAGGAATATAGCCATATGCAGGTACAACTGGCCCACCATCATCTGACCAAAAGAAGAATTTTGATCCACCACTTCTAAACTGGTCTTCAGATCTTGATCAAACCTATGAAAAGGGGGAGAACAAGGTATAAAAATTAATTCCAACATAACAATAAAAGGTCAAATGAAAAAATTCACCCAGGCAAATACTGATCTGTTGCCACACTTAAGTGCTATTACTATGATACCTGTAATTACAAGACAAATGCCAATTCAGCACAATGAAGAACACAATATGTAATTAGACTGACTTGTGTAGGAGTGCAGCAGCATCTGTGAGGGTACACTGGGACAGGAGTGCAGTACTGCTGCTTGAGGCCAAAGTGAGGTAGACAAGTCGCTCTTGGGCAGACAAACAGTTGATGTGGAATTCCTTTTCATTGCTAACATCAGCTGATGAGCGGTATTCCTGAAAATTGAGATAATCTTTTTTAAAACCTTAGGTTTTTTTCAATAAAATATATACATGACTACTCTACTTAAAAGATATTTATACAAACATGAACCTGTAATATTTCATCTAACCATTTTGTAAACATAGTACAGATAACTATATTTTTAGTGATTACTAAAGAACATTTCTCACCTGCATGATATCAAATAGGGTTTTATACCATTCCAGTGATTCTGAAAATGGCTTACGTGCCTCCACCTGACACCCATAATTGTAGGCTTCATTGAGCTTATTTTTGTCTTCAGCTCCCCAGTCTTTATACAACTGCAGGAGATTGGTTTGTAGTCTAACATCTGTTGGATTAGCTTTAATTTCATCTGGGAAAGAGAAAAGGAAAACTCATGAAAACCGTTTGTCAAAAATACATCATTAATACCATACCTTATGAATTCATGACAATAAATAAGCTGAAACATTTGAAACATTTACCTAGGTATAATTTTTCAAGCTCCTCCCGTGAGTGTGCTCCTGAACCCGTGAGAAGAGCTTCACGTAACTTGACAACACTTTCATTGTGAGGATAGAGCCTATGGCCTTCTTCTGCCCAATACAGACGCACCGAATTGTCACACTGTACTTCTGTATATAGCTCACAGACTGAAATAAAATTAGACATTAAAAATAGAATATAATGATTACACCAAAGCAAAGCTGACAAACCGAAAAGATGAGAAAACTAGAAATTTGTCATGTAAATGTAAATATGGATTCACATAAGTATGAATATTATATTATATTATATCATATATATATATAAATATGAATATAAATATATATACATATATATGTAAAAATAAATTACCAACTTACTTTTCAAAATGAGGTCTTTTTGGCCACCACCTAGTTCATAGGAGGTCTTGTAAGATTGTACTGCCTTTTCTTTATTTCCAAGACCTTCATTGATCTGGCCTAATAAACGATGAGCGTCTGTTGCTTTAGGGCGCGCTGTTAGGAATTCACTCAAGTAACGACGGGCACTCTCATACTCATTGATGTTAAAGTAGAGTCGGGCAATGTTATAACCCCGAACTTTTCTCTGAAAGATAATTTAACTATGTTTTAGAAAAAGTGTTAAGCTATGTTTGAGTTTTAAACTACTGTAATAGTCACATTCTACCAATGCCTGATAATGAAAAAGCACACCTATTATCAGTCAGATGGAACTACCTCTTACCAGCATATGTATCTTGCATACACCTGACTTGGTATAAATGTTGCATATAATAAAATTACTGCAAACAATTTGATTATATCTATGTAAACATTTCATTATCTACATCTACCTATATATCATCTACTTGTATATATCCATGTATACAGATGTGAATATAAAGGAATACAAATTACAGCTACTTTTATAATGATAATAATATATATACCTTGACCTATCCATTGCAAATCATACATTCTAAGACTTCTTCTTTCAAAGAAACACTCTAAAACAAAATTGGGTAATTGTCAAGAATAGCACCATGCAAGAGAGAATGAAATTTTCAATACCACTTTAAAAAGAATTAAAATGATGCTTATATATAAACCTGTACAAGTAAGGAGTAAAGCATGTGATTGCTATCACCAAAGCCAAAGAATTCCACTATATATTTTCTGTTATGATAAAGTTTGGCCTTCCTGATACCATAACTTAGGGAACCATTACAGACCAATAAATTTATGCATTTTGATGCTCATATGCATTCTCCATCTTCTGTCAATATACAAATCATATTTTAGTCATTTTTTTCAGTACAAGGTGAACTTTGGATAGGTCTATAATCATGCATGCATGCATACATACATACATACATATATATATACATATATATATATATATATATATATATATATATATATATATATATATATATATATATATATATATATATTTTATTAACTGGCACTTAGGAGCCACAAAAAATGAAAACATGATTTGTACTGTCATCAGAGAAGACGAGTTTGTGATGTTATGTCTTGCCAACAGAAGAAATAAAGAGAAGATAGCTCAGCAACCAGATGCAAAACTCGTTACTAGTTTTACTTTAAAGATTTGGTAGATCTTGCTAAAACTTAATACTGTGGCTAAACCAACTGTCAACTTTGTCACTCAGGCTGTCATAAGCTAAACCTGTGGTTATGTTGCAAGCTGTTTACTAAACACTGCCTGGGAATTTCACAGTGTAACAGATCCTTGAAACGTTTTCATCAACACGCAAAAGAATGTGAAAGCTAGACAAAAAATAAGGAAACAAGAGCTTTAAGTTTCAACCAATTTAATGAAGGCGTGGCGAGCCAGTGATTCGGGCTGATGTCCCCTACTCACGCGCTCAAAGTCAGCGCGCTGCCTTTGTTTGTTTAAGCGTAGAGTTTTTTTTTTCTTTTGTACACCCGGCGCCATTGGGTTAAAGACATTCTATTTTAACTTTTCATGGCAGGTGGCATATATTCTATGAGGCATCAGGCCCATAGGCCTATGATGTGATGCAAGCACCCATACCATGCATAGTTAAGTCTGCTCTATACTGTGTATGTATAAAATAGTCAAATTCACTTGTATGGCCGCCTTTGCAAACATGGATAAGTTCAGCATTTCAAAGTATACAGTCTTTTTTACTCGTTAAAAAAAAATCATATTACCAGTCACTGTCAGAGAGAGCAAGGCAAATGTAAATTAGATAGTGTTATAAATTTGCTCGTCAGAATCTGACTGTGACACCTGTTCAATCTCAGGAAAGGAAAGATTGGTAACTCATCCTGGACAGTGGAGTACTCTAATCTGCAAATTTTATATAATCAATAAAATATTTTATATATTTAAGTTATATTTCATATAGCTTGAAAATATGAAACATGTGTAAGCTCAAGTATTCAAAGTCAGCTGATTAGAATAAAGGAGACATGGCAAATCAGAGTACTAAAGAATATGCAGTATATGGTATACTTTGGTATGGGTAAATGCCATTGTAATGGATTACCTGGCTGTAGTTCTACATTGAGGTTGACTTTAAACAAATTCATTATATGTAATTCATTACTTTTTAGCCACATTGAATATCTTGATATAGTGCCTCTTTAGTTGGCTCTCACTCTAGTGGAGCATGATGAATGCAGTGCCTCAATTTACATAGATTCATGCAACAGAATCTACTGTCCTAGCATTTATTCTTTTGATTAAATATCAATTACAAACCTTTAAGTCTGTCACTGATTTCCACACAGATTAGAATTACCATTTTATCTGCCACGGCAATAAATCTCCACAATATATATGCCAGCATGACAGATTTTGAAAACGTCCATGGATTCATAATCAAATAGGGATCCATTCTAGGTCTATTTTGCTTGAATATGTAATGAAGTTTTGTTGGCATTTATTGAAATATAAAACAGGGAATTACCTAAGATTATTCTTAAAAATTCTAGGTCTTCCTTCGCAAAGAAGTTTTGAGGGTCCTTTATTGAAGACAAACTGCAAGGTAAATAAAGTTTTGTCTTGCCAGAATATACAAAGAGTTTTGTTAGGTCTTTGCTAAGAACATGACCGAAGCTAAAGCAAATGTATGTTCCTCATTCATATACATTTTGTTCAAGAGTTTGAAATTATTCTTTTTGATAAGTACCTGGTAGGGCTCCAAGCTCTTTTATACTAGGATACATAAAAGTTTGCTTGCCTTAAATGAAGCACTAGGGCGGCAGCATCACTAAAATGCAAGCGTAAGTATGCTGACTGATAAATGACTGTGGCCTTAATTTCACTTTCCTACTACATATCTCATTTACTCATGATTTTAGTTACAAAAGCAATTATCAAACAATACTGAAAATTATCTAAGGTGTCCTTTGTAGCCATGACACTTTTTTATATCTTAATCTAGGCCTATTCTGAACATTTACCTCATGCCTACCTAACTTAACACCCAATTTCCTTGTTGCAGCTCATGACACCAAACAAACAAACAAACCCGATCTAAAGCAGAAACACAAACAAAGGAAGATAACAACTTAGCCTTGCAACTCCCTCTGCAGATAACACTGTCAACAGAGTCAGCACCACCTGTTGCAGCCTCTCGCTCAGCTCTTAGGGCAAATGAGGGAATAAACCGCCGAGAAGCAAATAGAAAGGAGAAAAGGAGACGAAGGAGAAGGAGACAAAGAAACCGAAATCTTACGCCTCCCAACTCAGGCTCCCAATCTCTCTCGTTTCGCTTCTTGGTGCAGAAGGGAAGGTGGAAATAGCTTTGCGAATATCGTCGGTACAAAAACACACGTCTAAGAAACCTTCGAAACGCATTAACTACCTTTTTATTTCCTTGTCACATATTACACGGGAGTTACGTTATAGCCCGACCGACCCTATTCCCTCCCTCCATTTCCAGACCAATCCCCATTTCGAGTAAAAAAAACCCTACACAGCATAAAAGCCCCTGCTCCAGCCGAGACTCCCCATCTTCAGAGGCTCCCGCGTCCGACACAACCTCCCAAAAGAGGAAAAAAGAGGAAAAAAGAGGAAAAAAGAGGAAAACAACTCCTCGCGAAGCCCTGCAGGAGCCTCGGGCCCCAACGTGCGCCAACGCCGGTCTTTGTCACTTACCTCGTCCTCGCTCTTGATTTTATTCAGAATATCTCGCACGTGGCGGTCTACATCCTTTTTGGAACGCAGCATGGTTCACTGGTCATAATAACTTTGAACCTGAACTGTAAAAGCGATAAAATAGAAAAAAATGTGTCTGGCGCAACGCTCGGATCAATCTCGTGAAGGAAACTGCGAGACGAGAACAGAGTGGATTTCAAAGTGCGACTTACTGTTATTTTATATCAAGTGGGGTCGGTAGGCCTTAATTTCTGTTTCAATATTTTTTTTATGGTTGTAAATAGCATTATAGATTTTTTTAACATTCGTTTATAGTCTGTACGAAGGATTTTTTTTTAAAACTGCGGTTAAGAAATGCAATGGCGGCGATGATTTAAAAATACGCGAAAATCCCCCACGGGCTCCTAATTGCTCAGAGGTTTTCGCCGAATGCTTTGCAAATGTCTAAAAAAAATGACATTGCTGAATATCAAGTGATGCCAACTTTTGCTTAAGTCAAAATTAAAGTTTTATTCTGACGAAAATTTCACACAAAAGAAAACCGAAAATACTATGTGAGGATTCACTCAAGAAAATAGTAAACTCATTAAAAATAACTTTATCAGTTTATCTTTAATTACAGTTAACTACATGCAAGTCATTATTTATTGCAATACTTGAACTTATTTTGAAATTCAACGTTAGATTCATGACT